AGCAGATGGCTGTGGGTAAATGTTAATTAATATTAAATGACACCAGATGATCATAAGTAACTGATTTAAGGGACAGGGTAAATAAGAAAAAAAAATGACAGAGGAAGTAACAAGCTCAACTTTCTTGTCTGCGGTGTCTATATATTTTCATAGGTTTATTCTCCTTCAGTCAAAAACCTTAGTCTTTAAGTAAAGGATTTCCATGGCAACAAGAGCAAACAGTGCACATACATCCCATTTCTATGGGTCCCAGCTCCCGCTGCGACAGACCTGAACTGGAGAGGACTCAGGCCTCCGGCTCCTCCCTCTTCTCCTGTCTTCCTCCTCGGGCTCCTTGAGTGGTTGACGACTAGTCTGTCCACTTCCGTCCCACACCTCTCCCTCCTCCAAGAGCTGCTCCAGTCACAGATTCAAACATCTACTCTATCCACCCTACCTGAAGGGCTCTCATCTCCAGTCTTAGGCTCCTAAATTCTAGTCCAGAAAGTACAGCCACCTGGGCCACAGCTCACTATCACAGCAAACTCAACCCCTGCAAAGCCGACCCTCTCGTCTCTCCCCAGAAACTAACTGCAACTTTCCCATGTTTGTTCCTGCAGAAGCTCAGGCACCTCTGACTCGTCTCAACTCGTCTTCCCTTGTCCCTCCCCTAGTCTGTTCAGGCTAACAGAAACACCCTAGAATGGGTGGCTTAGGCAGCAGAAAGTTATCACAGATCCAAGACCAAGGCGCTGACAGATGCGGTGTCTGGTGAGGGCCTGCTTCCCGGCTCACGGACGACCATCTTCGGGCTGTGTCCTCACACGGTGGGGGGATGACGGGGCTCTCTGGGTCCCTTTTATAAGGGCACTAATCCCACTCACGAGGGCTCCACCCTCATGACCTAATCGCCTCCCACAGGCCCCACCTCCAAACACCATCACACTGGGGATTAGGCTTCCGCATGTGAATTGTTGGGGGACACAAACACACAGCCCACAGCATCCCTCTACCCCCAACTCGAATCAGTCGGCAAGTGTACTTGATTTCTCCTTTGCAGTGAACTTCATCCGCACTTGACCCAGTCATGCCCATCACCAGCTACCCAAGCTGACCCTGATAACCTAGAAGACAGCAAGAGCTTCCCCAAGGTCTGCCAGCCTTTGGCCTCTCCACATTGGTAACATGACAGAGCCAGGACTCAAAACCACAGCTGTCTGACTCCTAAGCGGCTTCCTCCCCTCTTCAGAAAAAACCTGCAGTCCTCCGCTGCCTGTTAATCAAAGCCCAAACTCCCTAACCTCTTAATTCAGGCTTTTCTAATCTAACAACATGACCTTGCCAGACTGTCCCCTCCATTCAAATGGGTGACATCTCCATCCCCATTAAATGTCTGATACATTTCTGCTTTGGTTTCAATTATTCTGCCACCCAAAATGACCTTCTCCTAGTTCCATGCTTATCTAGATGCCACATCTCCCATGAACCAGTTCAAACTGTACCTCCGAAATTCCCATAGCAATAATTCACAAGTAGCTGGCAATTAAGTAGTTATTACAACACCGTGTCTGTTATTGTCTTGAATTTTAACTCGCAGGGGAATCCTCATGGATTGCTGATGAGAAAACAGGTTGGCAGTTTCTTAAAAAGCTAAACAAAATTACCACTTTACCAGTCTCCCAGGTGTCTCTCCAAAAGAAATGGAAATATCCATTCACACACAGACGTGTATGATGTCCATAGCAGCACTATTCCTAACAGCCAAAAAGCAGAAACTTAAATCTTCATCATTTGATGAAGAGATAAAATGTGGAATTTCCATACAATGAAATACCACTCAGAGATAAAAAGGAACAAACTACTGACACGCATGAACCTTAAAAACATGCTAGATGAAATGACACAAAAGACCACATACTGTATGATTCCCTTTATAGAAAATATCCAGAAAAGGCAAATTTACAGAAACAGAAAGTACATTAGTGGTTGCCTGGGGTTGGAAGTGGAAACGGGGATTTTTTGGGAGACAAAAATGTTCTAAACTGATTATGATGATTATTGTACCACTTGGTAAATTAAGTCACTGAACTATATACTGGCTATCAGTCAATTTTATATGTAAAAGGTACTTCAATAGAGCTAATAAAAAGTTTTTTAATTACAACAGGTGGTCAAATATTAGATGAATATTCAATCTCCTACCTGTTTATATCTTTCCTCACCAGCCTCTCAACTTCACCCAGACCCTAAACACCTTGAAGGCACAGACCAAGTCTCCCTCTTTTTGTGTGTGTGTGAGGAAGATTGGCCCTGAGCTAACATCTGTGTCAATCTTCCCCTATTTCACGTGGGATGCTGCCACAGCACAGCTTGATGAGCAGTGCTAGGACCACGCCCAGGATCCGAACCTGCAAATCCCGGGCTGCCAAAGCAGAGCATGCAAACTCAACCACTACACCACCGGGCCGGCCCCCCACTTATTTTTTAAGCTAATTTTTAATACAACTGCACCTAACCCAAAGCTATACATACACTGTGTTCGTAACTATTTGTGTATTTGATTTTTGCCTTGTCAGGCTACGGAGTGATACCATCAAGAGCATCAAAGAAGAAATGGTATGTGTGGATGCAGAACAGAATAACTGCATATGAATCACAGCTCATCATAGCTATGAACTCAGGGCATAGCTAGGAACTGCCCTAAGCCTATTCCCAGATCTAAAATGGGGAAAACAACAGTAGTGACCTCATAGAGTTGTGATGAGGATAAAACGAGGAAAATGAGATAGCCCAGTGCTTGGAACATGTAAGAGCTCACTAAATGTTGGCTTAAAACACACACATGCAAACCCAACCACAAACACACATGCACCAGAGAAATGTCTTTCAAACAGGAGAATCTTCGACAGCAGAGGGAACAACTACAGATTGATCTCCCTCTTCTTGTCCTCCACCAGGCAAGAGTGGCCCTGGGACATCCTTTCTCCCTCCCAAGCCCAATGAAGTTTGTGTGTGACCAGAAGTACTACTAATCATTTAACATTGCCCACAACTTTCAAAGTTTAGTTTGTCCAACTCTCCATCTTCCGACTCTTATCCTACAAGGTAGGATTTCACTGGGTGGATAGCAGGCCACATGTCCAGTTCTAACCAACGAACAGCCAGAGGAAGTAATGTCACTTCCAAACCAGAGCATGTGTTTGTGCAAAACCCACCACAGTTCTTTCCCTCTCCCAGAGGAACAAGCAATGGTCCATTTGGTGGCGCTCTGTCAGCTGGATGAGGACAACATGGAGCAGACCCCCCAGCTAAACTGCAATGAATGGGGAGTGCAAGTGAGAAATATACCTTGTTCTCTGTGACTTCTGGGGGCTGTTACCACAGCATCACCCAGCCTCGCCTGACAGTCATGAGGCTCTCCGGCTATGAAATTACGTATTTTAAATCTCTCTCCCTGGGCCAGCCTGGTGACATAGTGGTTAAGTTCGCATGCTCTGCTTCAGCAGCCCAGGTTCACGGGTTCGGATCCCAGGCATGGACCTACACACCGCTCATGCTGTGGCAGCATCCCACATACAAAATAGAGGAAGGTTGGCACAGATGTTAGCTCAGCGACAATCTTCCTCACCAAAAAAGGAAAGGAAGAAATAAAAAGAAAAAAGAAATCTCTCACCCAAAAAATCCTTCTAAAGACTCATTATTCCCCTGGCTTCCGTGACAAGCCCCCTCCCTGTCCCATCAACCTCTCTAACCATTTCTCCATTTCCGCGTGGATTCTCCTTCCTCGACCTCACTCACTAAACACTGCTGTTAACCAGTTTTGTCCTCAGCTCATTACTTTTCTCATTCTACATGCCCTCCAGGGAGATGGTACCTACTCTCCTGATTTATCCACCACAGATATGCTTAAGCTACTACCCAAAGCTCTCTCCAGGTTAGCTCCCAGCTTCCCTCCAGCCCAAAGTCCTGCTAGATACCCACCTGGCTGCTCTACAGGCATCATAAAGCCAACGCATCCAAAAGCAAACACCTCATCTACCCAGCCCCCTCCAGACATGTTTTTCCACCCACGACCCCCACCCTGGTTAACAGCACTAAATCCACTTAGTCATCCAGACCTGAAACCTGACAGTAAAGCTAGACTTCTCCCTCTCCCAACCACCCAGTCTAGTCAACTTCACCTCCCTTAAAGGTTTGTTTTTATTGTTTGGGGAAAGGGAAGATTGTTTTTATTTGTTTAATGCTTATTACAGTGAACACTAAGAAAACAGGGTCAGGAAAAGTCTCTTTTGGTGTCAGGCATAACAACGCTCTACCCAGAGGATAAATAGTTCAGTCCAGACCAAGAAACAAGCTCCCTATAATTTCTGAGTACACAATTAGGAAACTGTCAGTGGCAACCTGCATATTCATCTCATCTCTTTAGCTACTTGTTTAAGTAAAAGTCTCAAAACACTCCAAAAGAAGCTCTCCTTCTTTATTAAAATTCTCTTAAGCATTACTCATATTACTGTTCAAGTTTAAGACACAGCAAATCTTATCAAGTATTTATGAAGTTCTCTTCTTCTTGTAAATAAATCTACAAAGAGAGCATCCATTAATTCACCTCTACTTTCTCTAACCTGCTTGATTTTCTACAACTGAAAAAAGTAATTCTGGTGTACTAAAACCAGAGCCAAGACTTCTCAACATCTTCAGTTAAAATATTTGTAATTTTGATAAACCATAATGAACATCTGAAATTATACAATATTATAAACCATTATGATCCCAATAAAATTAGTGGGGAAAAAAAATCTTGTAATTTCCCAATCAAGGTAGATCACACACGTTACCTGCACTTCACAGTAGAGAACTCTGAGTGCTTGGTGTCCTTCGATTATCTTAACTGTTACACAGCACTATGCGCTTATCACCCTGGTCTTCTTTAGCCTCAAAAAGACATTCAGAATTTATCCTCCATATAGAAGAGTTCTCCTGGCAGCAGAATAAGTTACAAACAGACCCAAAAAAACGCCAAAAAACAAAAGAAAATTTTTTTATTGCTTTACAACAAGCCAGCAACAAACACAACTGAATAATTATAAACATGACACTTCTAAATTCTCAAATGGAGTTTAAGACCAGAATGTGCTTCTCCACTTAAAATGCATTTGTTAAAACTGAAATCCACAACTTCTGCCAAGAACTTTAATATTCTCAAGCAGAATCCATACAAAGAAAACTATTCTCAAACTTACTGCATGTCTGATGATGTAATTAAAAGCCTTTTATGCTCAATCCAGGCAGTGTTATTTGTACACATTTTAGACGACCATCCTAGGCACTTTAAAGATCCTAACACTTTTTCTTTCTACAAACTCTTCTGCAGAAAGAGCTATCAAGAAAATTGTTCTAAAATCCAACAATGCATAGCAATTTATGCCTCATTTCTACTTTCCTCATGATGGAAAATTTGGTCAGTCCTTAATTCAGCCTGCTAACAGCTCCGATGGCAATGCCAAATGTCCTACTATACCAATAGGAAGCCCAAACTAGTATTAGGCATGAGAGGGGAATACGTCTAAATACTTCCTATTATTCTAGAAACACTTGCACCCTCCTTGCAGTGAGCTCCAAAAAAGCCGTGGATTAAGTCACCATTTTAATACTTTCAATTCAACAGCAAAAGTTACATGGCAAGTATTCTTAGTACTACCTGAAAATGGGGAGGAGGAGGAGGAGGGTGCCAACAAGATTTAAGTGACTTGCTCAAAACTGCAAGTCTAAAACCTGACTGCTGGGATAGCCATCGACAACCGAAACTGCTTACTCTAAAAAACATGACCAAATCAGCTGATTTTTTATTTTTTTTAACCCAAGGTTTTCTCTTTCTTCCAGACAAAGCACAGCACTTTTCTCTCAGAACATGCCAGTCAGGGTATTGCTAATTAACGTGACTGGGTGGCTTTACTCTCCCAGACCGAACAGTCGAGCTGGCTGCTAGAAAAAAGGTTTCGGAGCTTAGAAATCTAGCATATGCAGTGTTAGTTGAAGATGTGTGTGAAAACAATTTGTAATTGCTACAAGAGCAGAATGTTAAGGCAACATCAGAAAACAGACGTGTTTAAAACACTAAGCCCTACTCCCCACCTGGTAAATAGAGCCAAACGATAAGATGTTACTCAATCCCTTATACAAAAACTTCTCAAAATAATCTGTGGAACTTGACTTTACAATTTAATCTTTTCTATTTTGATGGCAGTGAGAGAGAACTCTGGGGCTTTAACTCCCTTGCAAAAAATTTCAACATGTGATTTACTCACAAGGCTTAAAAGAAGAAAGGAAAATATGAAATAAATTGTCCTTTGCATGGCAACCATCCTTTTTAATTATCTATTTTTATACTGTATCCAGGCTATACCTGGGTATGGATGGCTAATTTGGATATAGAAAACATCAAGGATCACTTCTGGAAGAATCACAAACAAGACAATAAACTCCGCAGTCAACAGCATTTGGGTAAGCAAGAAAAGGACTTTACACAAAGAGAGTGACATTTACACTGTCTGACAGAACTAAAATACACTGAATACAGAGCAAATTCACTGAAATAACAAAGCAAAATCTGTCTTTGTAAAGGCTATTCTTTTATCCCCCCCAAAAAGTGTTTCAATTCTGATACTTACACCACACAACTGGTTAAGAAAATAAAGCGCGCGGTGTTTAGCAACGGGGGCGTCCTAACTACCGTGAGAGGCACTGGCGACCACCGAGCTCAGCAGGGCCAGCGCCGGGAGAGCCTCCTATTTCTCTACACAAGCCGCTGCCGTCTCCTTATTGAAGCCCCGGATGGAGAGATCGTAGACCACCTCCTCTACTTTCTTCACGTCATACTTCAAGCCGTCGTAGCGCTTCCTCAGGGAGTCATTTTTCAGGTTGAGAAGGCGGAAACCGGAATCCAGCTCATTGATGAAGGTGGAGATGTGAAGGGGCCGGGAGTAGTCTCCAGCAGTCACACTGTTGACTGACAGCCTTGACTGCCCAAGGAAAGACGAACGGGGACGCGTTACAACACGGCTCCTCCTTAGCACGTCCTCCACATCACAACTGGGAGACCCTCAGGCCACAAAACTTTTCCACAATGGCCTTGATAATTACATTTTTGACAACTGCGTAGTATTACTAACCAACTTAATAACTTAAGAAATCATTTCCCTTTTGTTAGAGTCTCCATAGTCTACAATTTGTCATCAATTTGAGTCAGACGATAGTGCACACCTTTATAACAGCTTTTTCTTCCCTTAGAATTTTTTTTATAGGACAATTTCTCAGGGAAGAGATTAAGAGGATAAAAGCAAGAATAATTCATACAGTTATATAGTTAAATTGCTCTCTAAAACAATGATATGAATTAACAGTTACCAGGAATATATGTCTTGCCACTACTTTGGAAGGAAGAAGTATTACCATCCTTTAAAAATTCACCCGTTAGCAAGTATGCACAGCCACCTCATCGTTTAAACTGGCATTTCTCTGATGATTAGCAAAACCTAACGCATACAGAACACAGTCAATGACTACCTGGTGACCAATAGATGGCTTAGAAAAGAATTAGCCTTCCTGAATTTTTGTACCTATTTAAAAAAATGACAGCAAGCTGGGAAGATCAAAAAGCAAATGGCAAATTACTAAGCTTCTTACCAGTTCACTAGCAAGAATGAGAACTCCTGAGAGATAATCTTCTACATCCAGATGAAATCCTTTCTCTCGATCTGGCTCAACTAAAAAATATATGAAAGTAAAGATAAGGTCATGAGGTAAATACAATTTAAGCTTCAGAATATAAAAAAATACATATATACACACATATATATATATACACACACATATACAATTTCTCTCCAAGTAAGTGCAAAAAGGGTGAATCTTTTAAAACTGTCTTTTTAATGTGTTCACAACCTTGGCAACCAGCCCTCCCTGTGGCTTTTTTAAGCTCTTAAGCAAAATTCAATTTTCTCTTCCAATCTTCTCTCAAAAAGTAGTACCATCAAGAATGGTATCTAGTTATGCCAAGGAATACCTTTGTTTTTCAAAGACGCATGATGCAGCACTTACAGGAGAATTAACGGTACCTACAAGTGACTTTCAAAGGGTTCGCACATGCACACACACGCGCACCCACTGGAGACTCTGACGCAAACGTTAAGTGGTGAATCCGCGTGGGCTGAAACAGGTGTTCACTGTACTATTCTTTCAACTCCTCCTTAGGCTTGAAATTTTTAAAAACGAAATTTTAAAAACTAAAAGAAACACCCAAATACAAAGAACAAGCCACTACATACTTTTAGTTTTTGTTTCCAAGTAACTGGTTTTCTGTTTAGCTCTTACTCGTTTTCATAAACAGAAAGTATAAGCAGCAGGCCCTCCCACCACAAATTAAGCTCCCATGCCCCACTCTGCAGAGCAACACTGACCAAGACACTTACTGCCAAGAATTTCTGTCACCGCTTCTCGAGTCACTAGCGTTTCTGACTCCAAGTACACAACAAACGCTGCCAAGAAGACCAAGCGCTGCAACACGAACCTCCAGTGCTCGTGAAACCTGCGCAAGCACAAGCGCATTTAGGCGGAGGCACTGGGGCCCAAAGACACACAGTACAGTCATGCTCACCCATTTCAGGAGTGCCATGCTTCTCGAACAGAATCTTACGGGAAACCCAACATATAAAACATGTAGAAGCAATATGACATTTAAATACATTACACAGATTTAGCATACATTTTGCAAGTTCAAATTTATAACAATTATCTATTTCAGGTTTAATAAAGAGAAGCACGATGCAATTTCGATGAATACAAAAATTTACAATTGAAGATTATGGATGAGAAGAGCAACTGTACTTTAGAAGTTTAATCAATAAAAACAATGATGCTGCTGAGAGCAATAAGAACTGGCAACTGAAGACCGAGGGCCACTGCAAGTGCACAGCTGCCTCAACACCTCACTGATGCCCACCTTCTGATCCGAGCGTGGGCGATCAAGAAAACCCTGATTCACACGTCTAAGAAATAACGACTATTCGCAATCACTAAACACATGGACTTAAACCTCAGGAAACTGCAGTAGTTTAACTGAACTAGAAGCCTGAAACAGGAATAAGAAATTTTAAAACCCCTGCATATTTATGCTATGCCTCCTGATTTTCACAAGTAGCAAAACATTCAAAAAATTTTTCAACAAAATGCAGATCAAATAAAACCTTCTGAGGGCCAAATCAGCCAGAGGGCAGCCAGTGTGTGACCTCCAAACCATAAAGTGTCCAAAGACTCTGCCAAACCTATTGTCCCACTTCTCTAAGCTTCATTTCCTACCTTACAGCAGGGGTCAGCAAACTTTTCCCGTGAAGGGCCAGACAGTAAATATCTTAGGCTTTGCCAGTCACTTTCACTCTCTGACTCATATCCTTACTTGGGTGTTTTGTTGGGGCTTTTTGGGTTTATTTTTTATTTTTTTTTTTGAGGAAGATAAGCCCCGAGCTAACATCCGCTGCCAATCCTCCTCTTTTTGCTGAGGAATACTGGCCCTGAGCTAAAGTCCATGCCCATCTTCCTCTACTTTATATGTGGGATGCCGGCCACAGCATGACTTAGGTGTGTGCCCAGTATCCAAATCCAGCAAACCCCGGGCCGCAGAAGCAGAAAACGCAAACTGAACCGCTCCGCCACCAGGCCGGCCCGTTTCGGACTTTTTGTAACAACTCTTTAGAATATAAAAGCAATTCTCAGCTGCCTGAGGCAGCAGGTTACAAAAGGTTTGCTGAGCCCTGCCTTAAAAAAACCTTGTGAGGTTATACTATCCACTCTCCACATATGTCCTAATTATTTATTTCCCACATACGTGTCTTAAAAGAACAACTTTTTCACTGAGAAAACAAACATAAGTAGAAAATTTAGGTTCTTATTTACCATATTTCATCAATACTCAGATGTAGTTTTTCCCAGTTTACCATCTGAGAAATCAGGATGCATTTTACAATCTACATGTTTCACAATTATGATTGGCAACAATTTTTCTTCCCTAGTGGTACATAAAATAATGGCGTTATCTTAAAATTAATGCTGTTGTAGAGTCAATGAGATATGGCTAAAATATCAGCTAAATATGTGACCTGATAGTGAAAGTCAAACTTTGAGGTAAAACTCAACTCCATATATACTGTCACCTAATCCCATAACCTTAATCACACAGATAGGATTCATCCAATCTCACAAATAACTTGAATGTACTAAAAAGATAGTCTCTATATTGACTTTCATACAACTCATATTTTCTTAATTACTTTTTCATTGCAAAAATTACACATATTCCTTAAGAAAACTTTGAAAGTAAAAGGAGGGAAAAAAATAAAATCACCAATTTTGTCACCATTAAAATACCACCACTACTAACAGTTTGATTCTTTTTCTTTCCATTGTTTCTCCTACATAGAAGGATTTCTACCTAGTTCTAAGCAATCATTCAGTACACGTAATTTTTCTACCTTTTTTCACTTAACGTTGTAAAATAACACTACTTTTCTTACAAACCTGTAATACTGTTCAGCAGGGAACTTGGTCTTCAAAGATGTTAGATGTGTTTTTACTGTACCAAAATGTTCTCGAGCTTTCAAACACCTCTTTGGAACTGATCAAAAAAGATAATCAAACATAATAATGAAAGACTTACCAAATTTCAAATACAGTTCTTGGTTTATAATCTATACAGCCTACCTAGAAATAAATCAACATTTTTCAAATTTCATGACCAAATGTAGGGTATGCATCTCTGCTTTTCAACCTGGCTCTCAAAATTTAATCTCTGGTTTCCCTAACGATTAATCAATAAACAAAAACTTACTGAAATGGAAGGTTAGGAAGCGTGTGGGTATGCTGTCATACATAACCTCATCCCTAATGGGCTGTGCACCAGCTGCTATTCCTAGTCAGCACTCAATGCAAGCCTAAAATTGGACTGCTTCCAGCTCCCATATTTGGTCAAAAAGAAGCTATCAATTATTCTCAGTCAGTCTGACCAATTTCATATCACTGAGGGAAAATGACCTTCATCTGACGCCTACAAATTATAGTCATAGCATTCTCTACCTCAAAATACACTCAGCTCTTTCAGTTGTGCTGGCTACACCTTACAACGGAGGTCTCATGTCTAAACTTATCATACTTGATCTCCATTCAAGGAGCTGACTGTAAACACACTGAAAACTTTTTACACTGGCCATTTCATACCTATGGATGCATATTAAACCATACTCAAAGACTGAAAGGTTGGGTTTTTTTTTTAAAAAGCCAAATAAAAGTTGCTAGGTACACAAGAAAGCTATATGAAACTACTACAATTATCATCAGAACTCCATCACAATAGTAAACATTCCTATTTAAACCAGTAAAACCTATTCAAAACATAAGTGAAAAATCAACCAAAGTACAGAATTCTGTAAACCCATAAAATGATCAACTCACTTCTAGAAATTTTTACTCACCATAAAGCACAAGGAAAATTTTTTCATAATAAAATGATACAGACATAAAATATCTTCTGGATAGAAATCAACTCTTTAAAGGAGAGACTGATAAATTAGATAAAAACCTTAAAAATCAAAATAAAGAACTTACTGTCCTGAAACCCAGCACCCTGATGGACCCCTTGCAGTAGAGTTAAAATCTCTCGAGCTGTTTGTTCTAAACTCTGGACAACTTTTCGGATTTCCTAAAGAATTAAAAATCAAAGTATCAGATAAATTCAACCATGTTATCACAGCCTCAAACCAAATATATTAAATACCATATTTGATCCATAACATTTTCACACACATTCAAGACACTAACAATCTTTTACAAGGACTGAACTGGCACAGAAAATATCCAGGTTTGAACCCTCACTTTTCCGCTTATTTCCTCTGTGAGATCGTTAGGAAGTCAGCAAAAAGCCTTAGATGCCTCATGAAGCCTTCAAAGGATAATCGCCACCCACTCACCCCAAATATCCCACTGGAACACTATAAACCTCAAAAGAGATGAGGCATCTGAACATAATTTGTAAGGTGAAGAATGAAATGCAATTCAAGAGTTGGGTATTTTTCATTCACTCATTTTACAAATACTCACTGAGCACATGTACAAGCTAGGCATTGTATAAATTACTGGGGAACCAAGCAGATAGTCCCTTCCTTCCCGCAGTTAGTGTGTAATGGGGAAGACCGACGTTTAAAAAGTAAAAATCGCCGAACTTTTTAGAATGTTAATGCGATACTAGAAAATATGACAGGGAAAAAAATCATTTAGATTGCGACGTCAAGGACGGGAATATGAGATAACCGGGAAAAGAGTGGAAAGGATCGAATTCCAGAAAAAGCAAACAGTACACACAAAAGTCTTGATTCAGAAAAGTATTTGAGGAACTAGAAAAGTGAAAGTGAGGTAGAGTGAACACAACATACAACGAAAGATGGCGAAAATGAGACGGACGGATGGGTGGGAGGGAAGGAGGGAGGGACACCTGTGGGCCACAGTACAGTGTAAAGTTTTATCCTATGTAGAATGAGAAGCCATAGGAAAGATTTAAAGAGAAGTCACACGTGCTTTTAAAACACCAACAACGAACACATGAAACGCGCGTTGTCTGAGTCCCGACTGCCCAGCCTTCGACCTGCACAGTGTCTAAAAGTAAGGAAACTGACACTCAAAAAAAGTAGGTGATGCCGAGGAGCCAAGACCCGAACACAGGGAATCACAACAGAGCAGCAGGATCGGGGGTGGGGGAAGGCACGTGCCCTAAGCTCAAACAAGAGGCGTATCAACCCACCCCCAGAAGCTTCCCCGCCGCTCGAGACTGAGCGACGGAGGAGGGCCGGGCGACGCGGCCCAGCTAGGCAAGGAAAGGGAAAGGGGATGGGAGAGAGGGGGCTCGCCTCTCGGATGTCCTGCTCGGCAGCCAAAAAGCCCTGCAGCTCCACGAAGATCTCGCTCACAGACATGGCGCCGGCTCCACAACAGTCAGCCAGCGCGGCGACGGCGGCCAGCGAAAAGCGTTCCAAAGACAACCAGCGCAGTCGCTCACAACGCCCGCCGCCACCGCCAAAGGCGCCGCCGCGTCCACCGGGCCCTACGCTACGGCCGTCGCTGGGGTCCTCCAAGGTCCACGGCGCGCAGAAGGCCGGGCTGTCCGCTGTGCTGCCTGAGGCACCTCCCTGCCGCGTCTAGAGGCGGGGCGCGCGCCCAGGGGGCAGGGCTGGGGGAGTGGGCGGGGCTTCCGTCTGAGGCTCTTCAGACAGGCATCGCCAGAAACAGCCCACGGTGGGGGGGAGGAGTGGTCCTCGGAGCACGTGGGCCTCGGGGAAGCGGGGGCGGTCTTGGCGGTGGTGCGGGCTATCGCGGCTCTTAGCCTGCAGGGTGTATTTGTTATATGCGGCGGCCGATGGGGGAGCGGGGAATGCTTCGGTGTTAAAGAATATCACAAAAAGCTGGGTGCAGAAAAATGTGGAGAGGTTGCAATCTTCGTGTAAAAGCGAGAAAAAACTGCGTTCGTATTTGCAAAAAATACACGGGAAAAGGAAAGTTTACGTGGGACTGTGTGAATAGGGGGTGGATTGAGAGCGAAATTTTTCTCAGTGTACTGTTTTTATTTTAACGCCTTCTCCGAATGATTGTATTACCTGTTTTTAAATTATGTGAATTTTTTAAGCGTGTACTGTTGGAAGTTTCTCTTCCACTCAAGTTAACACTTCCTTCTTCCAGTTCCCCTTTATTGAGGCAAGCGCCGTAACGATTTTGTTTGTCCTTGCTGATTTATTCAATGTATCTACCCTACGAGTACAAATATGTATGTGTGTGTAGGATGCACTCTCCAAATGAATTAAAGTGATTACTTATATCAACTAAATGATAGTTGATTTGCTTTGTGCCAGACATTATTCTAAAATTTTACACGAAGGATCATATTTTACCTTCGTTATACTTCTGTCAAGTTGATGTTATTGTTATCTTAGAAGTAAATATGGTAACAGATTAATTGACTTGCCTAAGGTCACATGCAGCTAGTAAGTGATGAAGCTGGGATCCAAATGCTTTGTTTTAATCTCTATGCTATCATCATCTATTTAGCACAATAATAATTGCAAGGGACTTTAAATACCTTATCTAACTTGTTGACCCCCCTACAACTCTATGATGTGACAGGCTAGAAAAGCTCAGTTTTAGCAACTTACTCAAACACAAGATTTTTTTTTTGCCTGAGTACCTCTGATATCGGGTACCATTTCGTGGTTTGACATTTTAGGCAGTAGAATCTGATAATTCACAAAAAGGACGAAAATAGCAATGGGAGCTCATTTTTATTGACTTAGTATCTGCCAAACATGTTCTTAGCAGCGCTTTTTGTATATTAACTGACTTCATACAAACCCAAATTCATTTTTCAAATCCTGTAACATGTCTTTCCATGCCAAATCAAAACAAAGATTGTGACTTTTAAAATTCTAGCAGAAACAGGAGTCTGCCGAATCACTTTTTTCCAAGATCTAATGTGGTTTTTAAGCATCTCCTAAGAATATCTTTTTCTCATTTGTCAAGTTAGAACTATTAAAACTCTCTCTAAAATTTAGGAGGATTGTCAATAATGTGTGCAAAAGGATACTTTCTCTCCCTAGGAATTTGACTATTCTAGGTACCTCAAATAAGTGAAATGAAACCATATTTGTCTTTTTGTAACTGGCTTATTTCACTTAGCATAATGACCTCAAGGTTCAGCTGTTTTGCAGCATGTGACAGGATTTCCTTCTTTTTTAAAGCTGAATAATATTCCATTTTATGTATACTACATTTTGTTTACCTATTCTTCCCTCCATGGACATTTAGGTTGTTTCCACCTTTTGGTTATTGTGAATAATGCTGCTATAAACGTGAGTGTGCAAATATCGGCTCAAGTCACTGCTTTCAATTCTTTGGGGTGTACCACCTGAAGTGGATATAGGATAATACTGTGTTCAGTTTTTTGAGGACCATCCATACTGTTTTATAAGCCCCCTTTTTTTTTTCCTGCTTTATCTTCCCAAGCCCCCCCGTACATAGTTGTATATCTTAGTTGCAGGTCCTTCTAGTTGTGGGATGTGGGACGCCGCCTCAACGTGGCCTGATGAGCGGTGCCATGTCCGCGCCCAGGATCCAAACCCTGGACCACCGCAGCGGAGCGCGTGAACTTAACCACTCGGCCACGGAGCCAGCCCCCTATAAGCTCTTTTTTTAACAGCTATTTCCATTCTACTTCTCCCACAAGAATTTTAACCTAACATAAAAATATTTATTGTTTAAAATCTTTTGATTATCCATCATAATTTTCTACAAAAATTAAATTAAAATGTAAATTCCTATTATGAGGTTCTAGATGTTATCATTTTGAGATTATCATTCAACAGTACACGGTTGATCAAAACAACATAAATATATTATAAATTTTATAAATATTAAACAAGAAAACAAGTTTTAATGGAAGTGATCCCTAAATGAGATGGATAGGGCTATGTTCTTTCCAATTAGTTCATGTACTCGTGGATGAGTGTTTGTGTGTGTGTGTGTGTGTGTGTGACAGATAGCTGAGAAATTTTATTCACAGTAATTGTGGAGGGGCCTTCCCCCATTACCCTTAACAAGAAGCAATGCAGAGCCTAGCAAACTCTCAATGGAGAGTCCTAGCCAACATCCTCACTGCATCAGTTAATACCACTGGTGCCTCAGCCTCCTACTGGGCAGCAGCACCTTCAGCACTGTCTTCATCAGGCTCATTGCAGCAGCCATAATGCAGTTCCGACTCACCCCCTCCACCCCCACCCCCGCTGAGCTCAAAGAGGATCTGGCTTCCTCAACAGCTGCCCAGAGGGACTGGGCACATAGCCTAAAAGTGTGTGAAGTTAATGCTCCATGGGGCAGTTTGACCAGTGAAAGGCAGAATGTGGTTAGGAGCCCACAGATAAATTCCTTGCCCTGCCTCTTCCTAACAGACTGTTCTAAGAAACAGTAGTTCCTTACATCTCTCTGGGAATGCACAAATGCCCCATGTAACTTAGCAACCAACCAGCTTACTTATGAGACTGTGGCCAGTGTGATAACACATTGTCTTGTACTTGCTTTCTGGCCTTTGCTACCTCATTTCCTTTTGTCTCACTCTCAATGACCTGGAATTCACCCACTCACTCACCCACCCAAATAAAATGTTAGCACCTAATCTTTGTTTTAGACTTTGTCTTCTTGAGAATTCAGACTAAGATATTCATAAAGGTAAGTGGAAGAGAATGGAAGGAGTTCTCTTATACCAATTTCACTCAGTTTCTTAAACCCCTTGCTGGATATTGGCCAAAAATAACAGTGATTTATCATCCATAGTTGTTTTTAATGACTATTGGTGGACATTTCAAACAGGCTTTCCATCAATGCTTTTGAAAGCAAAGAATTAGATACGAACTTACCAAAAACAACTTATGAAAAGCTGTGTTGTCAGCCATTAAATTATCTGCATTCCCCACATCTATACCAATATTTCCAATTGTTCTTTTGTCAGGTGACCTAAAAGCTTAAGCAGCCAAGGGCAATGCACCAAGCAATGCATCACAGTAAGATCTGAAGGTGTGAGAAATTTTACTTTCTTTTGTAAATTGGAAGAAAGAAAGTCTACAGCTCAGGCAAATCTAGGAGAAAATGGGACTTGTTTCATATGCACCCAAGTCATTTGCTAAGCAGCTGTTCCTTCCCATGGCCCTCAGCCTCTCCTTGAGTGTCCGCCAGCTTCATGATGGTCATACCTTGAATCCCCAAACTAGTCTTGGCCTTGTTAGTGCTGGCCTCACTGGGTGGCTGATGTGGGAAAGTTCCACACTCTCCTTTATGATCTATCCCTTAATTGCATTTAAGTACACCAACGTGAGGCTTTGCCTAACAACTTTTAAATTGCACTGTTCCCACAATCCAAAAAAGCGCAAAATAAAACAGGCAAAAAGTCTGTTAATCTTTAACATCCTTTTGTTTTCAACCTGCCTGTATCTTCATATTTGAAGTCAGTGTCTTGCAGACAGTATATAGTTGGGTCATGTTTATAAGTCACTCACCAATCTCTGTCTTTTAATTGCTATATTTACATTTAATGTAATTATTGATATGTTAGTGCTTAAGTTTGCCATTTCTTTTTTTCTTTTTGTTTGTCTTCTACTTTTCATTTCTCTGTTTTATTTTTCCTACCTTCCTGTGAATATTTTCTATGATTCCACTTTATAGCATTTTCTTAATGTATCTCATTGCATAGCTTTTCAGTGGTTGCTCTGAGTATTGCATTATATATACATAACTTATTGTTGTCTACTGGTGTCATCATTTTATCAGTTCAAGTGAGGTATGGAAATCTTACTTCCCTATCTCCCACTACCCTTCTCCATTTATAATATAGTTGTTAAATATTTCCTCTACATACAGTCATAGCCACATCAGACTGTGTTATAATTTTGCTTCAACAATCGAAAAAAATTTAGAAAACTCGAGAAGAAAGTCTATTGAATTTACCCATATTTTGCTTACTATGTTCTTTCTTACTTCCTGATGTTCCTAGCTTCCTTCTTTTATCCTTTCTTTTCTGTTTAGAGAATTTTGTCACCTTTCTTTTAGGGTAGATCTGTTGGCAACAAATTCTCATAGTGTTCTTTCATCTGAAATGTCTCGATTCCCCCTCTATTCCTGAAGTATATTTTCACTGGGTATAGGATTCTGGGTTGACAGTTCTTTTCTTTCAGGCTTTGAAAAGTATTGTGCCACTTCTTTCGTGGTTTCTGATGAGAAATCTTCTGTCATTCTAATTGTTTTTCCCCTACAGGTAATGTATCTTTTTTCCTCTGGCTGCTTTCAAGATTTTTTTCTCTGTCTTTAATTTTCAGCAGTTTAATTATAATGTGTCTTGTGGATTTCTTTGAGTCTATTCTGTTTGAGATTTTTGTCTCCTTCTTAAATCTGCAGGTTTATGTCTCTTGCCAAATTTTAGGAGTATTTTGACATTATTCATTTAAGTGCTTCTTCAGCCTTGCCTTCTCGCTCCATTCCTTCTGGGACTTCGATGACAATAATGTTAGATGTTTGTTATATTCTCACAGGTTCCTGAGG